TGCTCAGTTTAGCCGGGGAGCCAGCTCTAGGAAGAGTCTATGTGGTTCCAAACTTCTTCCATTTAAGAATGATGGAGGCCACTGTGTTCTTGGTGGCCTTCAATGCTGCAGATATTTTTTGGAACGCTTCCCCAGATCTGTGCCTCGACGCAATCCTGTTTCAGAGCTCTACGGACAATTCCTTCGATGTCATGGCTTGGTTTTTGCTTTGACATGCACTGTCAACTGTGGGACCTTATACAGTGGCTTGCAAAAGTATTCACGCCCCTTTGGCGTTTTTCGTATTTTGTTGCCTTACAACCTGGAATTAAAATGGATTTTTGGGGGGTTTGTATCATTTGATTTACACAACATGCCTACCACTTTGAAGATGCAAAATATTTTTTATTGTGAAACAAACAAAAAATAAGACAAAAAAACAGAAAACTTGAGCGTGCATAACTATTCACCCCCCCAAAGTCAATACTTTGTAGAAACACCTTTTGCAGCAATTACAGCTGCAAGTCTCTTGGGGTATGTCTCTATAAGCTTGGCATTCTTCAAGGCAAAACTGCTCCAGCTCCTTCAAGTTGGAAGGGTTCCGCTGGTGTACAGCAATCTTTAAGTCATACCACAGATTCTCAATTGGATTGAGGTCTGGGATTTGACTAGGCCATTCCAAGACATTTAAATGTTTCCTCTTAAACCACTCGAGTGTTGCTTTAACAGTATGCTTAGGGTCATTGTCCTTCTGGAAGGTGAACCTCCGTCCCAGTCTGAAATCTCTGGAAGACTGAAACAGGATTCCCTCAAGAATTTCCCTGTATTTAGCATCATCCATTATTCCCTCAATTCTGACCAGTTTCCCAGAGGTGTTGGGTTTGCGCCTGACATAGCGTTTTCCTTGATGGCCAAAAAGCTCAATTTTAGTCTCATCTGACCAGAGTACCTTCTTCCATATGTTTAGGGAGTCTCCCACATGCCTTTTGGTGAACACCAAACGTGTTTGCTTATTTTTTTCTTTAAGCAATGGCTTTTTTCTGGCCTCTCTTCCGTAAAGCCCAGCTCTGTAGAGTGTGCGGCTTAAAGTGGTCCTATGGACAGATCTCCTCTGTGGAGCTTTGCAGCTCCTTCAGGGTTATTTTTGGTCTCTTTGTTGCCTCTCTGATTAATGCCCTCTTGCCTGGTCCGTGAGTTTTGGTGGGTGGCCCTCTCTTGGCAGGTTTGTTGTGGTGCCATATTCTTTCCATTTTTTAATAATGGATTTAATGGTGCTCCATGGGATGTTCAAAGTTTCTGATATTTTTTTATAACCCAACCCTGATCTGTACTTCTCCACAACTTTGTCCCTGACCTGTTTGGAGAGCTCCTTGGTCTTCATGGTGCCGCTTGCTTAGTGGTGCCCCTTGCTAAGTGGTGTTGCAGACTCTGGGGCCTTTCAGAACAGGTGTTTTTATACTGAGATCATGTGACAGATCATGTTACACTTAGGTTGCACACAGGTGGACTTTATTTAACTAATTATGTGACTTCTGAAGGTAATTGGTTGCACCAGATCTTATTTAGGGGCTTCATAGTAAAGGGGGTGAATACATACAGTGGGGAAAAAAAGTATTTAGTCAGCCACCAATTGTGCAAGTTCTCCCACTTAAAAAGATGAGAGAGGCCTGTAATTTTCATCATAGGTACACGTCAACTATGACAGACAAATTGAGAAAAGAAAATCCAGAAAATCACATTATAGGATTTTTAATGAATTTATTTGCAAATTATGGTGGAAAATAAGTATTTGGTCACCTACAAACAAGCAAGATTTCTGGCTCTCACAGACCAGTAACTTCTTCTTTAAGAGGCTCCTCTGTCCTCCACTCGTTACCTGTATTAATGGCACCTGTTTGAACTTGTTATCAGTATAAAAGACACCTGTCCACAACCTCAAACAGTCACACTCCAAACTCCACTATGGCCAAGACCAAAGAGCTGTCAAAGGACACCAGAAACAAAATTGTAGACCTGCACCAGGCTGGGAAGACTGAATCTGCAATAGGTAAGCAGCTTGGTTTGAAGAAATCAACCGTGGGAGCAATTATTAGGAAATGGAAGACATACAAGACCACTGATAATCTCCCTCGATCTGGGGCTCCACGCAAGATCTCACCCCGTGGGGTCAAAATGATCACAAGAACGGTGAGCAAAAATCCCAGAACCACACGGGGGGACCTAGTGAATGACCTGCAGAGAGCTGGGACCAAAGTAACAAGGCCTACCATCAGTAACACACTACGCCGCCAGGGACTCAAATCCTGCAGTGCTAGACGTGTCCCCCTGCTTAAGCCAGTACATGTCCAGGCCCATCTGAAGTTTGCTAGAGTGCATCCAGAAGAGGATTGGGAGAAAGTCATATGGTCAGATGAAACCAAAATAGAACTTTTTGGTAAAAACTCAACTTGTCGTGTTTGGAGGACAAAGAATGCTGAGTTGCATCCAAAGAACACCATACCTACTGTGAAGCATGGGAGTGAAAACATCATACTTTGGGGCTGTTTTCTGCAAAGGGACCAGGACGACTGATCCGTGTAAAGGAAAAATGAATGGGGCCATGTATCGTGAGATTTTGAGTGAAAACCTCCTTCCATCAGCAAGGGCATTGAAGATGAAACGTGGCTGGGTCTTTCAGCATGACAATGATCCCAAACACACCACCCGGGCAACGAAGGAGTGGCTTCGTAAGAAGCATTTCAAGGTCCTGGAGTCTCCAGATCTCAACCCCATAGAAAATCTTTGGAGGGAGTTGAAAGTCTGTGTTGCCCAGCGACAGCCCCAAAACATCACTGCTCTAGAGGAGATCTGCATGGAGGAATGGGCCAAAATACCAGCAACAGTGTGTGAAAACCTTGTGAAGACTTACAGAAAACGTTTGACCTGTGTCATTGCCAACAAAGGGTATATAACAAAGTATTGAGAAACTTTTGATATTGACCAAATACTTATTTTCCACCATAATTTGCAAATAAATTAATTTAAAATCCTACAATGTGATTTTCTGGAATATTTTTTCTCATTTTGTCTGTCATAGTTGACGTGTACCTATGATGAAAATTACAGGCCTCTCTCATCTTTTTAAGTGGGAGAACTTGCACAATTGGTGGCTGACTAAATACTTTTTTTCCCCACTGTATGCACGCACCACTTTTCGTTTTATTTTTTTAATCTTTATTTTTTAAACAAGTTATTTTTTCATTTCACTTCACCAATTTGGACTATTTTGTGTATGTCCATTACATGAAATCCAAATAAAAATCCATTTAAATTACAGTTTGTAATGCAACAAAATAGGAAAAACGCCAAGGGGGATGAATACTTTTGCAAGGCACTGTATAGACAGGTGTGTGCCTTTCCAAATAATGTCCAATCAATTGAATTTACCACAGGTGGACTCCAATCAAGTTGTAGAAACATCTCAAGGATGATCAATGGAAACAGGATGCACCTGAGCTCAATTTCGAGTCTCATAGCAAAGGTATTTCTGTTTTTTTATTTTTAATCCATTTGCAAAAATGTCTAAAAACCTGTTTTCACTTTGTCATTATATGGTATTGTGTGTAGATTGCTGAATATATATATTTTTTTTTCATCCATTTTAGAATAAGGCTGTAACATAACAAAATGTGGAAAAAGTCAAGGGGCCTGAATACTTTCCGAAGGCACTGTATGTACTGTTTTATTAGATTTGTATCCTTAATTTGTTTGGACCCCAGGAAGAGTAGCTGCTGCCTTGGCAACAGCTAATGGGGATCCTTAATAAACCCCAGGAAGAGTAGCTGCTGCCTTGACAGGAACTAATGGGGATCCTTAATACACCCCAGGAAGAGTAGCTGCTGCCTTGGCAGGAACTAATGGGGATCCTTAATACACCCCAGGAAGAGTAGCTGCTGCCTTGACAGGAACTAATGGGGATCCTTAATACACCCCAGGAAGAGTAGCTGCTGCCTTGACAGGAACTAATGGGAATCCATAATAAACCCCAGGAAGAGTAGCTGCTGCCTTGGCAGGAACTAATGGGGATCCATAATAAATCCCAGGAAGAGTAGCTGCTGCCTTGGCAGGAACTAATGGGGATCCATAATAAACCCCAGGAAGAGTAGCTGCTGCCATGGCAGGAACTAATGGGTCTCCTTAATAAGTACAGATATTAATGTGGCCACCAAGTCCTTTATTTACGTAATGTTTCACATTGCATGTCGGATAGTTGTGCAGTGTCTAAAACAATTTTGCTTGGTTGTGTATTTTGTAACAATATCCCAGCAGACATTATTGTCTGTTGACAGGGTATTTAAAGAATCCATGGAATTTCTGTGGAATTTCAACGGAATGTTGTGGCACTGAGGTAAAAGAGATGTGTGTTCCTCCTGTGTATCCTCCTGTGATCCTCCTGTGATCCTCCTGTGTATCCTCCTGTGTTCCTCCTTTACAGTAGATAGATAGACCACAGTAGACCTCCTCCTTTACAGTAGATACTACCTGTGTGGTCTAGCTGTGTGGATATGTCATTGGTAGGCCTGGTTATGATACAGTCCACTATTGCATTGAAATCACATGGTAAATTGGTAAGTTTCATAATAATGATCTATCAATTGAATAAACACCCATGGATCTTGGACTATAAAGTAAAATGTTACCCAATTGTTCATAGATGTTGCAGTCACCTACTTTGGAACATAAAAGGATAGTTTGAGATTTTATCAAGTACGCGCTTTTCTACTTACCCAGAATCAGATGAATCCATGGTTTCCATTTCTGTGTCTCTGTGTCCAGTATGAAGGAAGTTAGAGGTCGTTTTGTGAAGCCAATGCTAACTAGCGTTAGCGCAATGACTGTAGAAAAACTGCTTAATTTCCAGAATCTCACACTGTCCCTTTAAATGACGGATTCAGATTGATCTTGAAAACATTAAGCAATTTTGACTGTGACAAATGTCTAGGACTAATTGGTTTCTTATGGTTATGATGTAGTCATCATTGATGAGTGAGTTATCATTTATTTGTCTAAATTCACCCATGTGCTTCTGTTTGTCACCTTTCAAACAAGAAAGAAGCTAGCACACACACACACAGATAGGCACACACACACACACTGACACACACAGATAGGCACACACACACTGACACATCAATTCACATACTGTATATGTGCCTCTGGTCGCAGAACCATCATCATGACAACAGAGACAGAGAGCGAGACAGAAATAAACAGAAAGAGACAGCGAGACAGAGAGACAGAGACAGAGATAAGGTGCTCCCTCCCTCTCTCTCTCTCTCTCTCTCTCTCTCTTTCTCTCTCTCTCTGTTTCTCCCTCACTCTGTCTTTCTCTTTCCCTCTCTCCCTCTCCCTCCCTCCCTCCCTCCCTCCCTCCCTCCCTCCCTCCCTCCCTCCCTCCCTCCCTCCCTCCCTCCCTCCCTCCCTCCCTCCCTCCCTCTCTCTCCTCTCCTCTCCTCCCCTAGGGGATGGGATGTTCTCAGCAGTTGTAAAGCAGCCTGGCGGCTAGCAGACGGTCTGGCTCCACTGGCTGGCTGGGCATAGACACACAGCCAGACATTCTGTCATGGGCTTCACTTTCACTGGGCTCAGCTAAACAAGCTCCCCCAGCACCATGCAGGAACACACACACACACACACACACACACAAACATACACACACACACACACACACACACACACACACACGCACATGCACAGACGCCTATAGACACAGGCAGGCAGACAGGGAGGCATGAACACACACACAAACACACATACACACACAAACGCCTATAGACACAGGCAGGCAGACAGGGAGGGAGGCATGAACACACACACAAACACTTCCTTCCCCGATGCCTGAACATGATACTGAACACAGGAGCTGTTTACTCGGCCCTACTTGTCCAAACACACATTGATTTACGAGGAGAGAGACAGAGATAGGGCCTGACGGATGACAATGTCTTTACTGTCAGACCATACAACATACGTGTGCATTCTGACATATGCTCATGCTCTGAGACTGCTAGGTGTGTATTACAGTAGCTGTCCTGTCTCCTATCCCTGCCTCCTATCCCTGTGTCCTATCCCTGTCTCCTATCCCTGTCTCCTATCCCTGCCTCCTATCCCTGTCTCCTATCCCTGTCTCCTATCCCTGTCTCCTATCCCTGCCTCCTATCCCTGTCTCCTATCCCTGTCTCCTATTCCTGTCTCCTATCCCTGTCTCCTATCCCTGTCTCCTATCCCTGCCTCCTATCCCTGTCTCCTATCCCTGTCTCCTATTCCTGTCTCCTATCCCTGTCTCCTATCCCTGCCTCCTATCCCTGTCTCCTATCCCTGTCTCCTATCCCTGTCTCCTATCCCTGTCTCCTATCCCTGTCTCCTATCCCTGCCTCCTATCCCTGCCTCCTATCCCTGCCGCCTATCCCTGTCTCCTTTCCCTGTCTCCTATTCCTGTCTCCTATCCCTGTCTCCTATCCCTGCCTCCTATCCCTGTCTCCTATCCCTGTCTCCTATCCCTGTCTCCTATCCCTGACTCCTATCCCTGCCTCCTATCCCTGCCTCCTATCCCTGCCTCCTATCCCTGTCTCCTATTCCTGTCTACTATCCCTGTCTCCTATCCCTGCCTCCTATCCCTGTCTCCTATCCCTGTTTCCTATCCCTGTCTCCTATCCCTGTCTCCTATCCCTGTCTCCTATCCCTGCCTCCTATCCCTGTCTCCTATCCCTGTCTCCTATCCCTGCCTCCTATCCCTGTCTCCTATCCCTGTCTCCTATCCCTGTCTCCTATCCCTGTCTCCTATCCCTGCCTCCTATCCCTGCCTCCTATCCCTGTTTCCTATCCCTGTTTCCTATCCCTGTCTCCTATCCCTGTCTCCTATCCCTGTCTCCTATCCCTGCCTCCTATCCCTGTCTCCTATCCCTGTCTCCTATCCCTGTCTCCTATCCCTGTCTCCTATCCCTGTTTCCTATCCCTGCCTCCTATCCCTGTCTCCTATCCCTGTCTCCTATCCCTGTCTCCTATCCCTGCCTCCTATCCCTGTCTCCTATCCCTGCCTCCTATCCCTGTCTCCTATCCCTGTCTCCTATCCCTGCCTCCTATCCCTGTCTCCTATCCCTGCCTCCTATCCCTGTCTCCTATCCCTGCCTCCTATCCCTGTCTCCTATCCCTGTCTCCTATCCCTGTCTCCTATCCCTGTCTCCTATCCCTGCCTCCTATCCCTGTCTCCTATCCTTGCCTCCTATCCCTGTCTTCTATCCCTGCCTCCTATCCCTGTCTCCTATCCCTGTCTCCTATCCCTGTCTTCTATCCCTGTCTCCTATCCCTGTCTCCTATCCTTGCCTTATCTGCTGACTGCAATAGACACCTGAGAGCAAACACACAAATACACACTATGCCATGTTGTCTCAATTCACACATAACGATTTGGCTTTTTTGTTAAATAAGTCAAATAAGAAAGTGGCATAAGTAATATTGGTCTGTCATCCAGTTAAGATGAATCAATTGATGGATCAATATAGATACAGTGGCGTCATCGATTTCTCTCTCTCTTTCTCTCCTCCCCTCTCTCTCGCTCCAAAACACACACGCCCCGCTCGGGCGCGCCGAGCGCCACAGCACACACACGCGCGGGCGCGGAGGAGCAACACTCTTTTCTCTCCCTCTAAGGGAGGATTGTCCCTCTCTCAAAAAAAAAAGGTAGGAGAGACGGAATCTGAGGCTCCGAAGGGTAATCTCGTCCCTTTCGCGCTCGCCTCCCTCTCTGAAATAGGCCCCTCTTCCACCCACCCCCCCCCCTCAGACCCCTCCAGAACCATCCTCAAGGAGCCTCCACACTCTTGCCCCGTCCTCCTCATTCCTCCCTCTCTCTCCCCTCTCCTCTCCCCCTCTCTCTCTAGTTCACTCTCCTCCCCCTCTCTCTCTCCTCTCTCTCTTTCTCTTTCCCTCTCCTCTCCTACCTCTCTCCCTCTCCTCCCCTCTCTCTTTCCCTCTCTCTCTCTTTCCTCTCCTCATTCCCTCCTCCTCCCCTCCTCCCCTCTCTGTGTGCCTTGTCTCCATTTCTCTCCCCCCTGTCTCTGTGTGTGGGGTGGTGTAACAGGAGAACGGGGCAGGCCTTCCAAAACGTCTCCCTCTCCCTCTTCAGTTCTCCCTCACTTGGTAGAGATAGAGTACCACTAGGTCAACCTGTCATTCTCCCTGACCATGATGGATCGCTGTAGAAGTGCATACAGGATATCTCTCAGCACTTCTACAGCCAGTTTACTGTGATAACCACTCACCACCGCAGTATTACAGTATACTATAAGTCAATACAGGATATGTCTCTAGGACTTGTGGTGAATGTGTATCTGTCTGACTAGTTTATATACACTTAGTAGGCTTACAGTAGTTGGCAACCATGGTTCTATGGAAAGAGCTACCGGGTGTGCAGGATTTAGTTCCAGCCCAGCGCTACCACACATGGTTTGATTTATTTGAAGGTTAATATAGGATAGATGTAGGATAACCATAACCATAATACAATATTTATTTCCAATGTGCTCCTTGGTGGGAAAATATATAATCAACAAGATCTTGATTAGTTGACTCAGATGTGTCAGTGCAATTGGAAATGTCAGAATAGACCACTGTGGTACAGACAGAGATGTGTAACCTGGGCCGGGATTCACTCCCATCCACGTCAGATCTGCGTTATTGCGCACTAAACATTTAAAGGTAATTTCCGATTGAGCCGACATGTGAAGAGTTTACCGAGAACGTTGGGAAAAATGCCTTTAAAAACCGCATTGTCCACTGTACAGAGCGCTGCGCTATGAATTGAATCCCAGCCCTTTTGTCAGGTCAACTATTACTCTCTGCTGCCATCTTGCGGTTAAAGCAATTAACTATATTATTGCCTCGTGAATTATCTCATGGCGCATTCCCTCTGACTTCCTTCTCTGCGGTGCTTTTTCTATCTACAAAAGACTGCGTATTTTCCATTTATAATAAAAGATAGAGAGAAATGACGCATGGTAGAGAGTAATGCTGCACGACCAAGTATAACACATGGATACAGAGACATAAGTATCCTATGGGTTCATCCCAACCACACGGCTAGCCTGATAAATCCAGACTATGAGTGACAGGCCATCCATACTTCTTACTGGGCGTTGTTAGGCACACATGTAACCACACAGTGATCCCGTGGCTGACTTTGATGGAGGGTACCCCACTGAGATCATTTGAGGGCCCTGAGGACATGATATGACATGGGGGTGTCACACACACGCGTGCGCCCTGGGGGCAGGAAGGGGGAGATAAATGAGGCGAAGTGGCTTAACCAAACAGAACAGCCTCGAGGGTAGATTTTCAACCCCAAACAGCCCCACCCGGCCTAACATTAGCATGTTTATAGAGGTTGAATGTGTTTGTTTACATTCCACTGCCCCTGGAATCACCTTTTGATGAAACCTATTAAGAGCAAAGGACCTTGGAAGAAGTCAATGCTCTGTGATAAAGTATAGCATATGAATACTAGCATATGAATACTAGCCTAGTGCTCACATCGTTGTGTACCAAACAGCCCTGGTTTTCAACCCATAGATGATCTGAAGACATTGTTAGAGTCATCAAGTAATTTAATGTTGTTGTTAGGGATATATCAGTGTAAGAAAGCCTGTGCTTCTAACCTTTTTTTTTACAAAGACCGACACAACAAAGACCAAACACCGGCTCACCAAAATGCTTTTCTTTATGCCATTTCCATTTGCTAAACTCTGGCAATATAATAAGGTATCATATCTAAGAACAACATTCTATCTTGCAGAAATAGGTTTTTGTTAATTTGTTTTCGCCATTATATGACAATCTGTGTGTGGGCTTATCGAATTAGCTGAGAATTCCAACAATAACAATGTTCTCACTCATATTTCACAACCGCTGAATTATAACGGTAGCCCAGGGACGTTATTTGCATATTGTAGAGGGTGTGAATAGGCCTAGGAGAAATGATATCAACCACAGAGAAAATCAATGGGCTGTGACCAGATGTTGTGTCTTCTACTCATGTAATATCTCAGATTGACTAAAGGCTTTAGATCATATAAATGCAAATGTGGGATTATTATACATGACACGAAGTTCAATTATGTTTATGGTACAGAGAGGTTTTTTTTTTTTTTTTTTTACAGAAGAACTGTTCCTCAATCTGTCTTGGTTTTGTGTTGGCTGAAAGTACATGATTAGACCTTGGTCTAGTTGGAGTCTAAAGGCCATTAATATAGAAACCAAAAAGTGCTAATGGTTCCAAATGGTAAATATATGCTCACAGCAGCGTTTCTAAACCCTGATCCGGGGATCCTAAGAGGTGCAGAATTTAGTTTTTTCCTTAGCACTTAGTACTAATCCAGTGGTAATGTCTGTTTTTAGACAAATACCTACATTTTAACAATTGCAGCAATTAATTCATGACTCATACTGTGAACTTTAAGGAGGCTAAACAATAGTTTTAAGTCTGTAAGCGGTCTTATCTATAAAATACTGAGACTACAATGACAGAGGAAAATGTGTTTTTGGATGGCAACCTTTCAGAACGCATGTTGAGAGCTGCAGCATCCAACTTTTGCCACATGGGAGCGCTAGAACACCTCGCTTGTTGACACCCCTGTGCACTGCAACTCCAGAGGCCATAAGCACAAAGCAAACTGAATGAGAAAAGGCAGGTGTTGTTCTAAAGAAAAATGTCTCTCCCACTTAAATGTTTGATTATTGATGATATCATTTATCACAAAATGGAGGAATTGGAATATACAGTTTTGTTCAATACGGATTGGAGCAATTCATTTCTAACATATTATATTCATATATCACACCATACTATAACCTAGGCCTATTCATTATAAAAATGATATCTCTTCCTTGTGTGTTCTGACTGAGAAAATTGTAGGTTTATAAAAATATATATATATGAGGAATGTCTAATGGTGTTTTGCCACAGTATAAATTACTTATTTAAACTAGGAGATTAAAAAATCATTGGACTATGCAAAATAAGTACAACTAAACAGTGATACATTCAATTCTCGCTTCCTTGTTTTTTTTTTGTTGAGTTACAGTGAAATGAAACATGAAAACCATAAACAGCAGACATATAGGATAAGCTGAGTCACCCGTGTTCAAGGCGTGCCCCATTACAATACCTAACATATGACCGCTCCAGTTGTTGTGCAATAGAACAACTAGATAAAGGGTGACACCATCTCTCTTTCCTGACCACTATCAGGAACAGTGCTCTATCCTACTCTATCCTAAACAACAGGAAATTAGCCCGCCACTCCGTCCTCACCCGTATTGACCAGGACAGTCATTTTAGACATGAGTCACCACGGTGGTGTGGGGGTCATGTTATAGTTGTGAGTGCGTGGTCAGCAGGACCATATCAAGTCACCACGGTGGTGTGGGGGTCATGTTATAGTTGTGAGTGCGTGGTCAGCAGGACCATATCAAGTCACCACGGTGGTGTGGGGGTCATGTTATAGTTGTGAGTGCGTGGTCAGCAGGACCATATCAAGGCTCTGTGGGACTCAGTGGAACTCGGGTATAGTCTGGCTAATCAATAGCTGTGTGTGTGTATGTGTTTAACCTGTCTGTCAATAGCTGTGTGTGTGTGTGTGTGTGTGTGTGTGTGTGTGTGTGTGTGTGTGTGTGTGTGTGTGTGTGTGTGAGTGTGTGTGTGTGTGTGTGTGTGTGTGTGTGTGTTTAACCTGTCTGTCAATAGCTGTGTGTGTGTGTGTGTGTGTGTGTGTGTGTGTGTGTGTGTGTGTGTGTGTGTGTGTGTGTGTGTGTGTGTGTGTGTGTGTTTAACCTGTCTGTCTGACTCAGGTAAACTTCAGCTCACCCACAACACACACACACACACACACACACACACACACACACACACCCTCACAGTACTCCAGAACAGGCACCTCAGCAGACTGAGACATCCTAGTCTAAAACAACACCACGTTGCTGTGTGTGTGTGTGTGTGTGTGTGTGTGTGTGTGTGTTACAGTAAATAGTCTGTGGATGTTGTGTACAGTCTAACACCTGAAGGTTAGGACACTGTTTACCTGGCAAGATGTATGCACACATGACTGTAAGTCGCTTTGGATAAAAGCGTCTGCTAAATGGCATATTATTATATTATTAAGATGGTGATTGAACTTGGGTAACTGATTGTTGATGATGTATTTATTTTTCCTAAATAACCTAAATGTACCAATTCTTACTTCATACTTTCTTATATTAATAGGTCAATGTTAGGTGATAGAGGACCAACCAGAGCACCAACCACCAAACCAATGGAAGCATAACTTTTTCAGGAAGTTTCGTAATACTTTCAATTCTG